GAAATTATTTCTTTTCTATTCTATATTTATATACATGTTCTAAAACTATCAAAACTTTTCTAGATTTTTATTATCAAACAAATTCAAATCTTAATTCAAATTATTTCGAATTTTTAATAAAATAATTTGTAATCCTGAACGACTAACGCGGCGTCATTTCCTTCCCCAACACAATAGTAGGCCATGATGGAAGCTGCGTGTTTTTCAAGCCTACCACATACTTTTCTGAACATGGCTCCTTATTGATTAAAATATCCGCATGAATGCTCTACGCATCCCTTTATACCTACTTTTTCGGCAATGGCGGCAAATACGAAAATCACCACCCTCTTTTTACCAACATAATTTTTAAAACTACGTTAGAATTATTTTTATTATAAAGCAGTTCATTTTAGATTTCTTGATTTGGAATAAATATTTTGAAATACAACCCGGAAACTGTCAGAGCGTGCGTTTAATTTAAATATAATATTCTAATGGTGTTGTTTTATGATAAAATATAAATTATTCGAAAACAAACAAACGTTTGATGAGAAACCGAAAGCAATTAAACCAAATTTCACTGTACAAACAACTGTTTAATGTTAATCCGGGCGGGCTGCGAAAGCTGTCAACGAAAAAAATCGATACGGAAAATGTGAAAGCGTAAAAGAAGAAGAACTAACCTTGAAAGCGTCGTCTAAGATGGTAGTCATTTCCGTTTCGGCAATTAGCAGAACTCAACTGTCACTTTGCACTCCCATAGGACACTAGATGCGAGCGTGGACATATCAGTGTGGTTCAAACAACATTGAAGAATCAATCGTTACATTTGTAAACAGGCTTGTCACGTAACCCCTACCCCTAAATGTAACGTCCCCGTCCATTTGGTTATTGGCTCATTGCTATCATTGATTGAGTATTATTGTTTTTGCAATGCGCGTTTTTAAAACTCTGAACAAACATACATATATTCAGCTTCCATGTGTGGGCTTGTGACGTATCCAAGTTGTTTTTGTTTTTTTTGTTAGTTTTTTTTGCTTTTTTGTATTCCGAACTGAATTTTTGACGCTGCGCTATTCGCGGTCTGATGTTTCGGCGTACGGGTGAATATTTTTGCAACTTATGATTTTTGTTGTTGGGATGGATTTATTGAGGCCTTATCGGGTTAATTAATTGGGAATATTCGATACAAAATAAACATTAATTTTCCGTTAGAAGTGGGTAAATTGCTTTAAATATGAAATTATGTAAATTTTCGTCGTTACTTGATGTAATTAATTTTAAATTCGTGTTTTTTTACGCTAAAGGGCTTTAGTCAAGTGATTAATTGCTATACAGGGTGGGGCATAATTACTAGAACACATCCTAAGCGTAGGTTATTTGAATCAAAATATAAGTATATAATAATAATAATATATTATTATCGATAATAATACTAATAATAGTTTATTGTCCAACAGAGAATCTCCATTTACAAGACAATGTAAATTAAAATACATAAATGTAAATATAATACAATAACACATCAAAGGTATATATAAAATGAATACCATCTATTAGCCAAAATATATACACAAGAAGAAAACGCAATCAGTATACACTTGGTTTTTAAAATATAGATAACAAAAAAATATAATATATTGGTAAATGAAACAGAAATTACGAACATTATTCCATTTATATTATAGCAACAATTAGAGAAAACTGTATTACTGTATGTATGAACTGTATTTATTAGAGTAAATATGGACTGTATTCATCTAAAATTAATGTTAGTGAATCATGATTAATATGACAAAAGTTTATCACATCATTAAAGTTGTTGCACATTCTGTGAAGTAGGGATGAAAAAGATTTAGAAAATTAATAGAATTTTGTACCAATGTATAGAGGAAAGTATCCTTCTTAGTTGTAAGAAATGGACATTGAAACGATGCCGATGTACCAAAATAGATTGGTCAATAACTCTGACAGGATAAATTCCATCAAGCCTTCTGGATAAGAATTTTAGAAACTTGCGTATTCAAGTTTTGATCTTATGAGCACAAAAATACCATTTTTAGAGCAATTTCGTGACAAAAAGTTCTATACATCCCAAAGTTTTAGAAGACTGAGAAACTACAGTATTAATATGATGTACAAATTGCAAACCAGAATCAAATTTAACTCCGAGCTCTCATATCTGCGTAACCCTTGATCTGTATCTGTAACGTGTGGAGGGTGGGTTACCCCACGGCACTTAGGCCTCATTAGACCTATTGTGCATCCTCCTGAGAAGATAGGCACCTCCTAGCTCGTGAGCCAGCCTACAGATTTAATATAGTTGACAACGTCGCCAAGAGGTGCTTCTCTTATATCTTATATAACACAAATCTTCTAATAAATGAGAGTGTCGAGCAATCGTAAAGAATACGCTCGATGGTCTCATCTTCTTGTTCGCACCTTCTGCAAAGTGCGGATTCTGACAGCCCCATGATATGGAGATGCTTTCGTACTTGGCAATGACCAGTCAGAATACCTGTGACTAGGCGCAGATTCTGTCTAGTCAAAGTCAAGTATTTTTTTGCTGCAGTGTTGTCAGGATAACTTAAGAGTTCCCTGGCAACTCTGCAGTTTCTTGTTTCATCCCATCTTTTCTTGAATTTCACAAGGGAAAAGAAAAAGTATTTGGTTGGCTGCTTTTTTGGCTAGTGAATCAGCAAGACGGTTACCTTTCGATGTGGCGTGACCTTTAATCCATGGATACTTCGGCCAAAGCTTCGTGCCATTCTAGTAGTAGTGAATAAATTCGTGGTCTGTTCAGGGTGAGTAGTCTTGTCTGCTATCTGTATAGATGAGCATGTTCCTTCCAGTGATATTGTTTCTGGTTATTTCTTTTGCTGCTATGAGAATCCCCATTAGCTCTACATTGGCACTATTGCTCACAGCCCATTTTATGTTTAGGTTTAAGAATCTGGAGTATATTCCACATCCTGAGCCTTGTTTTGTTTTAGAACCGTCGGTGTAGATATGAAGCGTACCTCCCACTTCCGGCTCTTCTATTTGTTCTATTATCCCTTGATAAAGATATGTTATTTATCTGATAATTATGTAAAATTAGTTGAAGCTTGCGACTGAATGTACAAATTTTACATTTATCCAAATTTAGGAAGAGATTGATACACCAATCAGAGATTTTATTCAATGCTGCCTGATGAAATAAACAATGTAATTAACAAGTCACATTTGAGTAAATTTTCAAATCACGAGCAAATAAATGTTTGCACTTTAATGGAAAGATCATTAATAAATAATAAAAACAGCAAAGGTCCCAAATTAGACCCTTGAGGGTCACCTGATGTAGAAAAGAAACCGTTGTAAGCAACAAATTGTCCCCTGTTATATAAATATAATTGTATTAATGTAGTAAGAGAAGCACTAAAACCCATTACTTATATATTGTAACGATTGTAGAATTTAAAAAAAGTTTATTTATTAAAAACAGTTTATATATAATTTATTTATAACGTACTAATTAATTTATTTAAAACCTAGGCACTATTATAACTCACAATTTATCTTTACTATACAACACTTATATTGAATCTTTACGTCTACTGACAAAGTCGCGGTATTTAAACAAAAATAAAACAGTCCATAAAGAACCAACTCTGACTAGAATCTTAGTCTAGAAGTTCTGGAAATTGTCCTCTACGCGTCAGACTGCGATTAAAAATATTCCACTCGATTTCTCGAGTCACAAGGCGGGTCTCGATATGGCCAAAGCTAGACTCCTTGTCGCGGGTACGAACAACAAAGAACAGAGTCTGCTTCAGGCGATCTCACGATACTCTTAATGTTTTGTGGTTAATTTTGTCAAAAACCTTGGAGAAATCAGTGTATATGAAATCAACCTGTTATTTACTGTCCACAACTTCAGCTATATACTGAGTAATTTCTACAAGATTGGAAGTGGTAGATCTTTGTCGTATGATACCTTGCTGATTGGTTGAAATTAAATATTTTATTCGGGCAGAAATTTGATTATACACTGATGTCTCCAAAACCTTAGCAAAATTGAGGAGCCTGCTGCAAGAAGGAGGTAGCTCCATAAATCAAAATTGTTGAGAAAATAAGAAAAACCATTTTGCGTGAAAATTATTTTCTTTTTCTGGTTATCTTTACCGTACTTGCTTTGTGGAAGTCCTTGAGTTTCATTTACCGAGGAAAATTTTAATTTTTAATTATCCAAATATTATTATTTATAAGTTTTTATTGTGGAGCTACCTCCTTCTTGCCACCAACAACAACAAAAAGTACACAAATTATTTGCTTCTTGCATTTATTGTAAATAAAATACCCAACAATAATTGTTTTAATCTCCAATATCCTCATCCGTCATGTCTGTATCGTTACCATTGGCTGGATCTTCAGAAACGTTCAATGAATTATAATATACCATATCAACATATTGCTTAGCCAACTGCATAACGTTGGACTATTTGGCTTTCTTCAGTTTAGTTTGCATTGATACAGATTTGGTGGTATTTGAAACTTGAAGAATAAACACAAGTTGTAGATCCACAGCTGGCGCATGTAGAAAACATCTCCGGAAGGTATTTTGGCAGCGGTGCATTTCTGCTGGTAGTCAAAACATAGTGTTTCAATGGCTGAGTTATTTTTTGCTTCCTCAGACGTAACCTTTAACTCCTTAAAGAAGAAATCAGCCGTTTTACTTTTTTACGTGTTTTTTCTTCTTCGTCCACAACAACTTTCTTTACGGTGCTAAACAAGTTACAAATTTTGCACGTATCAGATCTTGGGCTTCCAAATGAGAGATTGAAATTATCTAAAATAAAAATCGTACGTCACTTTTGGCTTAAACTCTGGTTTCTTTTCCTTTATGCCAAAAATTCTGAACATTTATTTTTCATATTTTTCTAAATAAAGCTCATACATTTTTCTAATATTTAATTCTGATGATAAGTAATACTTTTTGTGATTTGTTTTCCTACTGTAGTACGACGATCGTCATGGAAAACTCTTTATATGGGAATCAACTTGCTGGAAAATTTCATTAAATTGCATTTACTCTATTATGGTGTTTGCCTCGCTATTCTTTCGAAGATGTTAAACAGTCATCCTGTTTTGGGCGCATCGCTAGGCGTTCCACTGTTTTTGTTGAAATGCCATGCAAAGCACAAAAAGCCTTTTTGCATACTTTGTTTGACTCTTCACCAAGGTGCTCCTGTAAATAAAAGTAAAATGCAGAATAAATAAAAAAACAAAAAAGAAAAAGGTTTTATGAAACTTACAGTATATTTGTTTCTGACTGTCCTTGAATGACAGCTGCCATCCTTTGTCCGTACTCTGGATACAGGAAATAATGAATTTAAACCCGAAAGATACGTGTCTCGTAGGATTTTATCATTAATTTCATTGAACTTTTTGAGTATACATACTCTGTCCTCTTCTGTCACTCTTTCAAAACACTTATACTTGCATTTGCAGTCGTTTCCTGTCTTCCGAGCCTCCTTCATTTTTTAAAAACTATTTAAATGCTTCTCGCCCTTAGCTAACATACTATTGCGTTTATTTCTCTGCCACTGGGAACTATCCACGTCTCGTCGATTATTTTTAATCTTAGTTCTAGGTGCATTTTCTGCTTCAACTGCATAATTTTCGTCACTGCTTTCACTTTTTGGGACGTAATCATCACTTATCCACTGCTAAATGGCTCATCAATTTCACTTGTGTCACTCATGTTTATAAACTAATAATTTATAACAAATTATAATTATTCACTGTGAAATTATGGTCTGAAAACTAACCATCTGCCACCTGCCAGATAGTAACTTTTAGGTTAGGTGAAATGCTGCTGTCAAAACGGTTTGAACTGCTTGTTTGGTGCAAGAAAGTGGCATCTGCAGGAGCTACCGCTTTCTTCCACTAAACTAACGCGGATATAAGTCCAAAACTAGACATGTTGCAACCATTTATACAGTTAGATGCCTCCTTGCACCAATCGAAAGAACTTCGTAAATTGGATAAGGTAGCAACATAACCAATTTTTTCCCGAATTTGGAGCTACCTCCTTCTTGCAGCAAGGTCCTCAATTGTTAAAAATCAAGATAGGACGACACTTTTTGAAATTCGTATTATCACCACTTCTTAACACAGGGCAGACTCTAGCTACTTTATACACATCAGGAAATACAGACATGAAAAATTAGATTGAAAATTTTAAATAATGGTGTTGTAAGTACATTATCTGAATCTCTGTATCTGTAACGTGTAAAGGGTGGGTTACCCCCACGGCACTTAGGACTCACTAGGCCCATTGTGCATCATCCTAAGACGATAGGCACCTCTTAGCTCGTGAGCAAGCACATTAGCACAATATCTTAGAAGAAGACTAGGAATTTTATCACTTCCAGTTGTGAGTTTATTTGGAAGTTTATTAATTGTCTTTAAAATATGGGTCTCAGAAATTTGTGAAATGTTGCAGTATGGAATATGATTGACTTCTGAGTTGTTAGCGATAAATTGTGTTGGAATATAGACACTTTCACTTTTTTGTTGTATGTATGACCAAAAATTTTCTGGATTAGTTATGATACTATTTTTAACAGATTTCAGATAGTTTTTAAAAGTTTCATGCACTTGAGCTTTAATTATTCTTCTCAGTCTGTAAAATTCCTCATAGTAATATTGAGATGATCCTACTACGTGTAGACTTTGCATGGAAGAGGAAGAAACCTCATACCATGTGATCTTCGAATGCGAAGCTCTCACCAGGCGACTTTTCATCCTTTTCGGCTTAGAACCGGAAAGAACGCCCCAGGAACACTTGGTAGGGAACCTATTAAAACTAACCAAAGACACAGGACTATTTCAAAGATAGTACCTGAATACGGGGAAAACAGGGGAATACAATAGACCCAAGAGGCCGCAGTGTTCTGGGCCAAACCTAACCCTACCTGCTTAGAACCGATAAAGATAATGTTGAGATTTAGTTTTTTCTAAACAGGGCATATACATTTTTTGATAATCTTAATATTTTGAATTATGTTTGAAGTATACCAGGAGGGATATTTGCGATTATGTTTTTTATATTTTGAAACATGCATGTATAAAACATAGTAAATTTTTTGATAGGAAACATTTACATTTACATCCTCCATATTATCTAAACCAATTCACGTGTAGACTTTGCATGGAAGAGGAAGAAACCTCATACCATGTGATCTTCGAATGCGAAGCTCTCACCAGGCGACGTTTCATCCTTTTCGGCATTGTAGAGACTAGGAAAAAAAAATTATACCTTTGGGAATTAGAATTGTGAGCAAAATTGATAAATCTGGACGACTCTATATACAGTGTTATCTTTAAGGATAATGCGATGCGTCTTCTCCATCAAAAAGAAGTGAATAATCACGACCGGTGTTAAACAAAAATAACAATGACACGATCTAATATCTTTTATAACGAATTTTTTACATTATTAATTTGGGAAGCATAAGTGAAAAAAAAAAAATAAAAATGATCCTATATCGAAAATCATCTAGGTTTTTTGTAACATAATTAGCAAAATTGAAGTCTCCTATTATCAATATTTCTTCTTGATTCATTATAATTTGACTTAATACGTCTAGAAACTGCTCATATTCTACATTAGAACTGTATGGAGGTACATATTTAACATAAATAAAAAGTGTACCTACTATATGACACAAGAAATTTTACTCCTACAATATCAATATTAACAAGTTGTTCATAAAAATGATTGAGGTTCAAAGCTTGTGATTCAAACTTGTTTTTGTAAGCTAATAAGACGCCACCACCTTTTGTTTTAGAAGATCTTAGTAAGTTACGGTCTTTTCGAAAAACGTAATCTTCCGGAAAAACTTCACTGCTCATAACTTTTTTGGTTAGCCAAGTGTCAGTCCCTAATTTGGTCGAATTAGATATAGTAGCCACTTCAGAACCGAGAAACTCTAAAATATTTTTAATTTTATTTTTGTCAGAGACAATAGAGAAAATATTTCAACTTTAACACCCTGTATTCTCATATTTCGGTCCAAATAATCTGCATTTATTATATATCCTAATAATTCTGACTCACCCTGTATAACATAGTACATTGCGTAACAAAAGATAATAAAAACACATACAATAATAATAAACATATAAGTATTTATGCGAGTAAAATATGCAAAGGACTTTAAAAATATATATTTGCCATAATCTGAAGCACGTTGCGATTTAAAATATTCAGGGGGGTACTTACCCAGTGCAGAGGTTAAAATCTGCAGTGACGTTTTTATAATAAAAATGTGCTTCATCTGAAATTAAAATGGATTTGTCCGAGCATTTTCTCGAATATTTTAATATTTTATCATATAGTTCGTACTGTATAAATTGACGAGTAATGTTGAAATAACATATTACTAAAATTTATGTATAGAAAATAATTGGCTAAAAAGATATACAAAAAAATGATTCGATTTATATCAAGATAATTGTGTTGAACAATAAATAGTGTAACGATTGCAGAACTTTCGTAAACAAATTAATATTTTAATAGTATAAATAGAGCCTTTGTAATTCTTTGTGAAGCGTTGTTCATTCATTGTTCAGTTCTTGTAAAGACCAGTGGCTCTATTTAAAAATAAGAATAAATTCAAGAATACATTTTCGCTTCCAGATTTAAAACTGGCGCAGACACACTAGTTACTAAAAAGTTAAGCTTTTCTGTCGACTTCGATTTTAACGAATAATTTTCTTTGTGATTTCTGGAATTTCCAGTTCTTTAGTGTGATTACTAAAGACCGTACTTCATGAATCAATCCAACTAGCCGATATTGATCGAGTCAATAGTCCAATTGTACAACCAAAACCAAGCTGATGAGAATCGGGAGAAATGGTTTTCAGAGAAACCCGTTAGTGCTAATCTTTTCTGGCTTTTTCCAATCCCTTTAGAGTTAGTAATAAATATAGTATAGCAAGATTTAATTTAAAATTTCTACGTTATAAGTGAAACAGATAGTAATTTTGATAACGACAGTAACGTTGATAAGCGTATTAACTTTTACGTCATGGCGAACGTTTTACCGCAAAGAGTCCCAATTAACTGGAATCTTTTCAAATTAAAAATACATAATGTAATACCTTTTGAAGGGAATAGTAAATAGTAAATATTTTTATAATTAGATATGAAAGTTTGATAAATTAATACTTATGCTATTTAAAACGATACTAAATTAAATGAACATATATTTGAATGTATTCAAGGAAAATTAATAGGTAAAGCTGAGTCAATTGTAGATAATAAAATATAAATAAATAATTACTGGTAAACGTAAAGAAAGAAATGTTTTGCAAATTGGCTTAAAACAAGTATGGACTAGGTGTAAATTCTTCATAGGTAAACATCTGGTTGATTACGAAAGTAAACTTCAAGTAGTTTTTTAAAGAATAAGTAATAATCCAGAATTGTATCAAAACTAAACACAAATTCAAATAGACCATTGTGCCAAAACTGTATTTAGTACATTTATAGCTGGATGTACCGTAATATGCATTTAAAGAAGATGGAATGGCATATGATTCAGAATTTAAAACAATGTATGGAAATTTAAATAATCAACCAAATAAATGATACCCAATTTCAAAAAAATATGCCAGTATATATAAATAATAATAATAAATAAAGATTTTATCGTTAAAATAATAACCAATTTGTTACTAATCAATTGTTTTAACCCAGTTTTCAATTTAATCCAAGGAATTTCTAAAAACCAGTTTGGTCAAATCAACCCACCAAATTGCAACCAATGCCACAACGTAATCAAAGATATTTTACCAATAAACAAGTATTTGTTTACCCTATAGATGTTTTAAAACCTAACCAAATTCCTATAAATCAATTACCAAATCCAACTCCAGTGTCGACTTCTACAGAAAATTCCATTATTCAAAATCATAGATTTTCCTATTATAATAACAATAATAATAAAATTTTGAGAATAATAATAATAATAATACTCTCCCTAATTCACCCCCTTACGAGTGAATTTTAACCGCAAAAGCTGAGGGGAAAGAGACGGCTAATATTATTATTTGCCGTGGCGCTCCAGGGCGACTTTAAGATGATTGATGGCGCCATTTGACTTACAGGTGAGGAAAACCCGGAAAATCTCACCCACCATCATCGAGACGGTAATGCATCGCGATTTTATAATCTGCATGTCATATCAACAAAAATTTAATTTCTATTAATACGGCACACATCAAATCCTATACCGAACCATGCAATTTAGTTAAAAATCTTCATGGTCTGGTCGTAGACTCGAAGCCCGGCAGTCTCGAACCATAAACAAATCATAATCAGAATTTTACTTTTGAAGAGCTTCATGTTAATCAGACGATGATGTCGTAAATTATGGTAAAATTAATGATCTTTAATACTAAAAAAGAATCTGACTGAGAAAAATATTTGTGTAGATGGCACAAACAGGTCAAAAATATAAATTAATTTCTTTTAAAATATTCGCTTACCATATACGAGCCCTAACACAAAAATGTTCGGACATCAACTGATTTTGCGAAAAAGTTTGAAAATTTCCTTAAGGGATTCAATATCATATGTTTTTCATTTATAAGACATAATATGTATTGTTTACATCATATTTATGAAATTGTTTTCAAATAAACTAATATTGATTAATAAAACTAAATTAATGTTGATAAAAATGCAATATTTGC